TTTAATTTCATTAATAATTGTGACATAGAACACGTGTTTGTGGTACAACGCACAGAAATATGATGGGCCTATTTTTGTTTCTAATGCCCGGAATACACGAGGCTAGTTTTTCAAGCTAGTTTGACTTGACTTTGACTAGGATAGCAAGCTAGTACTGTCCTGGCTTGCTAGGGTAGCAAGCTAGTACTGTCCAGTGTCCAGGCTTGCTAGGATAGCAAGCTAGTACTGTCCTGGCTTGCTGACCTGGCTTGGAACTTGCTAGTTCTGTTTACATGAGGCTAGGATTATTTTATGCTAGTACTATTGCAGTCAGTGAGGTGACCACACGTCCAAAATGAGCTGCATGCGAAAAAAAACACTATTCAACTGAATGAGTTACTTCAAAAATTGTGCCAAATCGCAATAGAATTTTTTGTAGTGCTGAATCACGTTTAGATTTGTCTTTATAACTTGGAAGGGTGGCGTTCCTCAGACATTAATGGTCACGGTACAGTTGTACAAACATTAAATTAATATCCATACTTAGTTTATTATCTTAAAATGTTAAAAACACGTCGCGGTGACAATAAAAAAACACGTCGCGGTTCCTGTTAAAAAATTGAACTCCATCCTATTAAAAACTATCCTGGCTTGTAAACTAGCTAACTAGCCTACTATCACAGAAATTAAAGATTTGAATGTTTAATACATTTAAAACAAAAACTTCTTATATTAGCTTTTTGAGAACGCAATCTCCTCAGACTTCTAGAATTCGAGATATATGTCGCTTCGTAAGAATTAGTTCCCAAAATACACTGCACTAACAAGCACTCTAACGAACTGTTTCGATTTTCTCGCTGCCATACTGACTGGAGTTTCTCGGAATCCGATATATTCAAACAGGCTTCTATTGACATAAATATATTACTGACACGTCTTAATGTCAAATATATAAAAGTAAGGTAACGTTGTTATTTACTGAAATTCAACAGCTGGATGGTGTAACAGATAATTTCAGTACTAAAACTACTAGAAATAAAATTATGGTATTTTTGTTAAGAGCAGTTGGTAGTTTGGGCGATTCTCAGCCCTGAGTGTGCGTTCAAATTACGACTGTGCACAATTTTCTTTCTATGTGTGCATTTATCTCTGGTACGGTGAAGCAAAATATTGGGAGGAAATCGGCATGTCTTAAACCCGGCCGTTGTATTAAGAAAAAAAATATCAACAGACACTGAAATCTGAGGCCAAAACCAAGGGTTTTCTGATCTTTCTCTCTCTCTTCGATCTTTGTAAACACTTCATGCCTTAAGCATGTATTACTTGAAGAAATTATTTATTTCCTTATTTTTTATCTTTACAGTAATTGAATATTCATGCGATAGGAAACTTATAACTAGTCCAAAAATAACATACCGTTAAAAAGATCAAGAAAGGGAAAACCTAAATCTTTTTGTAACAAATTATGAGTACTACGCTTATAAATTCAGTCAGTGAGCAATGAAATAAATCAGTAATTATATTATATTGTTACAAATGCGCCTAATATAAATTTATAGCAAAGAACGTAAAATGTGAACATATTAATATTTAAAATCCGAAACTTTCTTGAGCGCGCTCAGACAATCGATGCCTTGAGGCATAGCTAGTTAGTTTTTAACATATTTAACACAAAATTTTGTATTCCAAAATGTATAAAATTCATTACGATTTTTCATTTTTCAAGATCGTTTTAATTAGGTTGAATTAATGACTGTAAAATTTTAATTTCAAACTAATTGCTCCATTTTAAACTTAATTTATTACTTGTTTGTTTCAGGTAAGTCTGCAGGAATGGTGATTTAATAACGTCATAATTTAATTTAGCCATAAAAATGTAAAATAGTTGTTTTTTGTTCTACTTTTGATAGTTTTCATTCGTTTTTTTAAATATCTTTGAGTTCGCCTAAATATGATTAAATTATATTTATACATTTGTGATTTTCATCACCATCTTGCTTGGGGCTCAAAATCTTTCATAATTAAGTTATTGCTTTTCTATAGTAGGTAACTTTAGATTCATTGAAGCCCGACAAACCTCTCAGGAACACAAGCTAGTAAGCGCCTTTCGTCCATACAGTTTTTGTAGAAATCAAACTAGTAACCCTGGGAAAAAATAGCATGACGCTGTTATTCCAGCGATTTGCAAAGCAGTTGAGGAATACAATCAAAGACCGTGAAGGTAACCTATCGCTTCATATTATCTTAGAAAATATATGTATAGATAATATATACTTAGGACAGAAACTCTATAGACGCAGTCGGCACTAACCGCTTTGTGACGACTCGTTTAGTAGCCACTGAAGTATTTCCGAACCAATTCGACTTAGGGAACTTTAAGAAGAAGAGCGAAGCAATTTTTGAAAGGCCGGCAACGCACTTGCGAGCCTTCTGGCAATAAGAGTGTCCTTTAGCGGCGGTATCACTTAACATCAGGTGAGCCTCTTGCCTCCAATTACATAAAAAAAAGTAACAGGCGTTGTTATTTTACTAAAGTATTATCTTCTATAACCAAACATCGACAATCGTAATTATATTATTATTTTTACTAAGCCTTTATTCTTTATTGCAGACACCCAATAATATATATAATTAATATAAATAAACATTTTGTTTTGTTACATAACCTAACTTAATCTAATACATCAGATGTGCCGGTTTTGGTGATCAGAGTGTTTAGTGAGACATAGGCCTCTTCCAGCTGCTTCTATTAATTTCTAATGTTAGCTCTTCTTGTCAAAGTTGCCTCCTATTCTGTTTTATTTTTTCCATTTTCCATCTCGTGGTTGCCATTGTTCTGGAAGAGTTTCGTATTATTTGTTGCAATTTCATTTTTGTGGCATCTGTCAAGTGATGTGAGAATGCTAAATTATTTTCATGAGCCAGATTGAGCACTCATTCTCCACGTTTTACTTCTCGGGCCAAATACGATGTTTCCTAAGATGTTCTTTTCGCCAGGACATCGCCATCATTATATACGTGATAAAATAAAATATAAAGTGTACACATACTCTGAAACGTGTGTATATACACTCACTTACGTACGGTAGGCCGGCATTATTTTTCCTTATTATATAATAAGGAAAATTTATTTGGATTTGTAATTTTTATATAAGCTGCTGGCTACCTGAGTTAGTATATAAATAAATCTTGAAATGGGCCTTAAAAATCCACTTAATAAATCAAGACGTAATTGACACTAAAACACTTTTATATGATTTTCTTTAGTCTATAAGTACTGCTGTTTATGCATCACCGTGTGTTAGTTAATATTTAACATCTATTTACTGATAACCACCATAAATACTAGATGCAATAATAGAGTTCGAAACACGGTCATTCTAAACAGTTACCACGCTCAAACTTCGACTAAACATGCAAAACCATTTTGCGATCTAACAAATTGCACACACCAACCTATAATAACTACAAAATATGCACAAAATTTATATTCCTGCAGTGTAATAGCAAGAGTTTTATAACTTATGGCCACGAATTTAAAACTATTTTGCGGTTTAAGTAGCATTATGGCCATCAGATTGAAAGCTATTCTCATTTTATGAAAGGCTTTGTTTTTGTGATTGTTAATCACGAAAATTACTTTGAAAAACGATAAAAAAATAAATAGGAATAACGGCTTAAAGAAATTGATTTAAATAGCCCTCGATAAAACGGTACTTGCCTTCAGATGGTTCCACCGTTTATTTCACCTGGAAAACCAAATTATCAGCCAGTCTTTATTGTCAGCGCAATAGTGCCATTCTAAAATTCAGCTAAGTAACTAGGTATTACGCTGAATAGCTATCTCCGATGGAAGGTCCATGTTGCAATGAAACGCTAAGAGTTTGATCTTTGTTACACAAAGTTGTCCTAGTTGCTTGGAAGGCATTTCACGTTATAAGTGAAAAATAATTACAACCTTGGGACTTTACGACTTGCCAGCTTTGGGGCGGTACCAGTAAGAGCACATCAAATAATCCAACGATTTCAAAACAAAGTGAATGGTCAATTCTCCCTGGAATGTTTGTTATGAATATCTTCACGGGTGACCTTAAGAAGTAAGTCCATGTTCTTTTTAAGTGCTAAACAGTGGTACGTGGAAAAAATTGAACCCAAGAACAGAGCGTCATCATCAGAGACAGAGAAGTGTTATTGGACACTTTCGTATGTTAAAAAGCATTTTTAGTAAATTAGGTTAGACTTAAATTACTTATTAAGACTAAAGTTAGGCTATATTGTAATAGCCTATGATGTTACAGTGAAGAGATTTAGTTCATAGATTTATTTATATCTTTGGCTCGTTTGTTTTACACGTGTATTACACAATTAATTGAAAATTCTGAGGCCTGTATACGCAAACTGATTACTTTATTTACATAACATCATAAGTGCTTTTTAGCGTTCATAGTCTGCGAGACATATCAAAAGAGAATGATTTGTATTATATTTAGAGCCTTGAAATGTTGTATAATTTGGATTAGATCCGTCAATAATGAAGTAAGAAACGTATTTTTAAACTCAAACAACAAATTACTTATAGCCATGATAATACAATTTATAATGTTATTCATTTAATATTTGTGTTCACTCATTATCTCAATGAAGATAACCTTTCAACTTAAAATATTGTCTGTACATTGTTATCGCTTTGTTATTAATGAAGTAATTTAAAAGAATATCTTATGTACCAATTTCAGAAAGCATATAAATATAATGGAAAATAGAACAGCCAGTGTTTTGAATCCAGTTTAATAAACTTTTTGTAAATGCATTTCATTACCTTAACTAATTCAATTATAAACTAATAGTAACAAATATTGACTATTTTTTACATTTTTAATAATATTATTGTTATCACTATTTGAGCTTATTTAACAAATAAATGTCACAATGTTACATATTATACAAATTAAAAAAAGGTTTTTAACCTTCCTATAATATAAATATATAGAAGCAGTTTTTAATACTTATTCTAAATAAATTTACACTGCAACAAAGATAGACAACCACCACGGTGGTTTAGATAACCATGACTTTAATTTGTCTCTGGGTGGTAAAATCCCCGAATCTTTTTTTGGTTCTGGCATCTTTGAATATTCCATTAATGTAAGACAATCTATTTTTGATCGAAGCCGATGATCTTTTGTTACAATTTCAACTTCACATTCCATGTCGTTGGGATTTGGTGGTGGACCTTTTATGGTTAAAGGATCTTTTAACTGTGTTGTTGTCGTTGTTGTACACGTTGAATTTGTAAACTCTGTCTTTACATTTGGTGGTGCAGTTGTAGTTGAATCATTTAAATTAATTATTGTTTTATTTACGGATGGATTAATTGTTGCTGCACTGGAGGCAGATGATTCGGTTGAAGCTATTATATTTTGCGTCATATTACTTGTTGGTGTAGTGGAATTCCCAACTGTAGTTGAAGGATACGTTTCCTTTGAGTACGAAGGGGTGGTTGATTCAGTTATATTATTGAGTTCAGTTGTGCTAGTTGAAGTATCATTCTCCTTCAAAGGAATGGTTTCTGTTGAAGTTGTAAAATTCTGGGAAAGGATGGGTGTTGTAACATTTGTAGTTGCAACTGTCGATATAAGCGTTTCTGTCGCATTAGCGTTACTTAAACTTGTATTTACAGGAATAACGGATAAAGGAGTAGCTTTAGTTGTTGAAGTGGATACGGATGTTAAGTTAGCTTCTGTCGGAGTTTTATTTGATACTGTTATATTTTGGCATACTGTACTCTCTATACGAACTGTTTCTTGAGGTAATTTTTTACTACCTTCAGTAAATGTTGATACAATCTCACAAGGTATTCTCAATTCTTCTATTTTACCGCTTTCTTTTACTCTTAATAGACAATGAGCATCTTCGTTGCTTTTAACAGAGGGGCGATAAGATGAACTGGTTCCAGAGTCATATCTTCTCCTATAGTAGTCATCATAATAATAATGATCATGGTAATGTGTATGAGAGCGTCCTAAATTATACAGTGTTAATCCAGTTAATAGGTTATTATAACGACTTCCAGAATCTCTATATTGGGTGATATAAATATGTTGAGGAGACGTATAGTAAGTTGGCACATAAGCATGACTTCCATAAGAACCACTACTATACGACGATCCTATATGTGTAGGTTTGTAACCAGAATTAGAATTAGATATGGTTTGTGGAGGCTTAATATACTGTGTATTTGGATATTGTGGACCTGTAGGATGATATCCTGTATTAGATGTTGAAATACCAGTTGATACAGGGCGGCTGTTCGAACCAGAGAGTCCTGTTGAATAAGGATATTTACTACCTCCAGACCCAGAGAGTCCAGTAGAGACTGGGTATTTACTTCCACTTCCCGAACTAGTTGAAAACTGATGATTTCCTGATAATCCGGTTGATGCTGGATATTTACTATTTGCTCCCGATCCAGATAGACCGTTTGATGCTGGATATTTACTCCCACTTCCTGAACCTGATAGACCGTTTGATGCTGGATATTTACTCCCACTTCCTGAACCTGATAGACCATTTGATGCTGGATATTTACTTCCACTTCCTGAACCAGATAGACCGATTGACGACGGATAACTTACTCCAGAATGGCTATTGGAGCTGGAACCCGATAATCCACCTGACCATGGGTAGGAGGAGCCTGTATTACCTAAAACAGTTAAAGGGTTTTATTCGATCAACATAGAGTGATAAGAATATATAAATTATATTCCTAAATATGGGTTATTTTCTTAACAACAATGTTCAGTTTCAACGTAGTGCTACAAATTATAACATACGTCCCTTTTTTAATAACTAATAATTTATAGAATTATGCTAGCTTAAATATTTAGTTTAAAGTATAATCTTATAATTCATGCAAAATATGTGTCCCAATAAAACATATTTTAATTCTAGACAAAACGAGAACCGTCATGTATTTTCAAGATCAATTTTTTTTCTCATATCACCAGACCATATCGGAAATTTGCTTGCAAAGCCTAGCACAAAAACCAATGATGTGTATATTTTTATTGTATTGAGTCCTATTTTATGTATTTTACCCAAATAGACAAGACAAAGTTCCAAGACTATCTTTATTTTTTTCTATTAGTACTATATTTGTATTAGTTCCTGATAAGTTTGTACTCCAAATGGAGCAAAAAAAAGAGAGCGATTTAAAAAATGTTTTGTACCTCTCCCTGACGATGATGGGTAGCTGAATCCGCTAGATCCAGAGCCTGACAATCCGATTGATGATGGATAGCCATGTGAACTGGATCCAAATCCTGAGTGGCCCGAAGATGAAGAGTGACTGGAGCCCGAGCTTGGTTTACTAGAACCCCATCCCCAAGACGACCTCCCTGAACTACTACTCTTTCCCCATGATCTTCCAGAACTGGAGCCTCTAGAGCCACCACTGCGTCCAAACTTTCCACTTACAGAATTTAAAGCGACATATAGTATTAATAGGCACAACAAATACTTGTTGGCCATTATAACACGCACTCTCTCGAGTGATAGAACTACGACTGGTATGTAAACGCGTATGTATTATGACGCCGTTACAAATCACAGGTCAAAGAGGAAACAAATACCACAATTCCAAGTAAACATTGCTTGGGAAAAACGATCATTATATTCCTTAGAGTTGGAAATAACATAACGTGTAGTCATTAAACGGTAATAACAAGACAAACAACGTAGCTGTTAATTACATCTCATTAATGTTACAATTTATTAAAAAGAATTCGCCTTCTTATCAAATACGTCACATATCACGTCAGTATCAAGTGCTTAACTTTAAATATCGTTTTGAAATTTATAAACTACTTTATGAGGTCAACAACTACTTTATTGCATTACTTACCATGCTTATTTAAAAAAACGTGGTTTAAAAGGTAAAAAACAATTGAGTGAGGCTAAATTAACCTTAATACCGCTCTCTATTATATTTTATATTAATATATTAAACTTGCTGGTGTCCGCGGCTTCGTCTGCGCAGGATTAAAATAATATTTATTCAAATGATGTAGCGGATATTTTATCTACTTTAAATACCAGAAGCGATAAAAGTATCTATTTTCATTTAGGACTCAATTTATTATTACCAAATGTGCCTTTGAAATAAATTGGAAATTTTTATAGTAGTTATGGTTCACTATTTTGGCTATAATTATTATATTTTTCTCTCTCTCTATGCAGAGACATTGCGTCTCTTTGCGTTTTCTACAAAGTATACTACGGAGAGTGTTCGGAAGAATTGTTTGGGTTGATCCCTCCTGCCTCTTTTCAACACCGTACGAGCCGTACGAGCTCTAAATTTCACCAACATCATCTTGATGGTTGGAGGTCTTCCACGGTCCGTTTCACAAGGCACTTTCCTTCGCGAACTAGCGAACTTTGGAATCGACTCCCGGTGGGGGTCTTCCCTCAGAGATACGACCTACAAATGTTTAAAAATCGAGTGTACTCCTCCCTCAAAGGCCCGCAACGCACCCACTAAAAATGAGTGTCTATGGGCTGCGAAGTCTGCCCTTTTTGGTCGTCCCGCAAGCTCGTTTGCCCCCCTATTATATATTTAAAAAAAAATTTAGTGTCTTTCATATAAGACACATAAATATATATAATATATACTGTGGCGGGCTTTTTTGTACATTACATATATGTAACTGCAACGGTTTTGGCAGCGCACGCCAGAGCAGCTCTCTGATGCTAGATTTTTTCCTACTTACTAGATATTTTGGACAATTTGGACAATATCTTTATAAATTGTAGCCTGTGTGTTATTCTGATGTATAAGCTATATTATTGTAAAATTTCATTAAAATCCATTCATTAGTCTTTACGTGAAAGATTATTAAACATCAATCCATACTTACAAACTTTCGCGTTTATAATATTAGTAGGATTATATCCTTCTTTGTGGGCGTTATATAATTGTTTCTTTCTAAATAATTTAACTACACTTATTTCACCTTCTTTGTTGCCATTCTACTTTAAACGTACGTCATAATCTGTCACTTCGTGTTATTAAAAATCTATCTATATCGTTATTAAAAATTTACTATAATTAATTATTAAATTTCTAATTAAGACATCAAAGAATATTTAAGTCACGTCAAGTGTACGCAGATTACACGACGCTAATTATGGTGAGGCTAATTATAACGGTCCTTAATATCAATGTCTCAACAGAATATTATATCGGACTTTGAGGATATCTGATTCAAAGCTTATTAAGAACGCTTTGATCTTAGATACCTTACAAACTGGCTACGAACTGCTGGTAGAGCATGATTCAACGAATTCCATACTTTATTTTTTGTAATGTTCTCTTATAATGCCTTCCTGACATTTTTTTTTCTGCGGTTATTTGCAATCAGCCCCAAGGCTATGAGCGAATTTTTTCTGTGGTGCTGTCATGTGGAGTGACTTCCCATTGGAAGCATCTACTCATCTTCTGTCTAGAGCTACTGCCGGTCTTCTAGCTCTAGAATATGGTGACGTTTTAGTCGACTCACATACTGTCTAATGGTGAGTTGGCAAGCAAGTTCATTCGGGTGACAGCTTAACCGCTCTTTGTATTTAGCTGCCAGTCTCCGGATTTCCTCTTTGATAGTTCTCATTTTAAGGTGTTCGTGAACTTCGTTGTTGGTTATGTAACATGGTACTTTTGCAACTGCTCTTAGGATCTTGTTCTGTTGTCGCTGGTATAGCCTTCCTGACATAGATAACTTCCTGTAGAAAACAAGTGTCACGTACTTAGCTGCAACCCTATTGGGTTTGTGATTTACAAACAATAATTGGTTTTAACGGGTTCATTATTAAATATATAAAATATATTTAAATTTAAAACAATTAAATAAAAATTTGCATTGGATATCTTTTTTGTATAACGAAGCTGAATTCAAAGCTAATTTGACATATTCAAGAAAATCAAAAAGGTCGTCAATTGTAATAAAACTAAAAAATGTGTGGCAGTCCCCGAGCCCCCACGGTAAAGCTATTGCATAGCATTTTTATCAACTTATGCAATTAAAATTATTTATTAAGTTTTTATGTATGCAGTATTTTTTTTTCTTTGATATTAATTCAAGTTTTTTCTTTGATATTAATTCCATAATCTACCACTCTACCATACTCAGACTAACACGCCTATATAGTCTGTCTCACTCTAACGCGTACCGGCTGCACCCGATGTGAGACGTCACGTTACGTCATCGTGTGTTAGGTTATTTTCATTACGGAATTTCTGGATTCGGTCTCCACGCTCAAGGCCCGCGATAGAAGCTATGCAATAGCTTAATAATTTAATACAACCAACATTTAGGGTGAAAAGGGGCATATTAAAAAAAACTAAAGCTATATATCTAAACCAGCTTATGAGAATGAATTAAAGGAGTGCGTCCTTTAACTCAATCTCTTTTGTCTCCTTCTGACAAATTGTGTTTTCCTCCCGATAAAAAGAGGCAGAGGAGTAATCGACAAAAATGTGCGATTAGACTGATAACTTTTTATACATAAAATACATATCGCACATCGGCAACAAGAGTGTCACAACACATAAAAATAAGAAATTGAGATAAGTATCCCTTAAAAAGGGCAATCACAAACTTTATCGGCTAAAAAAACGTCATAATTATTGTGCTATTCCTCGCCGAGAGATGGCATTTAATACCCTTTTTCACTGAGCCACTTTCCTACCTTTGGCGGCGTAAACAATGTCACATCAAAGTTGATACGGAGCGGACGTGCTTCTTGTGTGTGTAGTAAAGACATAACCTGTGTAACGACCCTATTACGGTAAGTAATTTTCATATAATTGCTTTGATATTTGCGAAAAGACAGTCACATCAAGTGAAATGACCATATTTTTGAGTTATTCTCACTAACTATCTTAAAATTAGATAATATAACTGTCACATTATGTGAAATGACAATGTTCGTGCTTTAGTGTTGACTGATACTGAATTATTATATGAGTAGAAGTGTTTTAACATGTTATATATAACTGTACTACCGACTAAGAAAAGTATTTAATTTGGTATTATTTAATAATGTGTCTTTATTTCTGCTTTATATAAGGTTTGTAATTTATCTTAGGGCGCATTACAACGGTTACAACTAAATTTTTTTTTACTTTAGTAGGATATAATGAAGAGGAATTCAATGAACAAGTTCATGATAGATTTAGTTTTACACAATGACACTCCAGAAGTATCCGTTGGCATAGATGAATCTGAAGCGTATAGAGAAAATATCAATAATACTACCAATAAACTGAATCTACAAGTTTTAAACAATTTAGTCTACAAAATAATAATTTAGATAACGTAGTACGCAAAGATGAATATTTCATTATTAAGGATGGTGAGTGTAAGTATAGATTAGAATGAAGACGATTTTATCGAAAATAGTGTCGATAGCGTTTATTATTGATTATGCTAAGAAGAAGATTTGTTTGTAATAGCCAGGAAGAAATAACTCATATACAAAACGAAAATTCATATAGGTGGTAAGACAGCTGCAGACTAGAGAGACTATAAAAAAGGATTGTGAATCAAAACAGCAACCTTACGCTAATGAAACAATGTATTAGAATCTTTAAAAAAAACTTAAACATAAGTTTTGTTGCGACAAAGAAAGACCGCTGTGAACTTTGCACAAATTATGAAATTGCCGAAGGTAGTGCAAAAGAAAACTTAAAGCTGAAATATTGAAAACATATAGAAGAAAATGGACGTGATAAAGGAAATATCAGTCAAGATTTTGTAGTAGCTGTATATGACTGACAAGCTGTTTTGCAGCTACCTCGTGAAAACACCTCAATTTTTATTATAAATCAAAATTAAGTTATTTTAACTTAACAATTTCACAATTGAGTACTGATATAAACGAATGTTATTTCTGGCATGAAAGGGGAAGCTAATCGTGGGTCTGATGAAATTGGCTCGTGCTTACTATAATACATTGGAAGCAAAACTACGTCTTATGATGGTCCAGGTAATTGCAGTGGCCAACACAAAAACAGATTTTATCGTTATATTAGTTTTTCCTGTGTAAGTATTAAAAGTATATCTCAAGTTTCTGATAACCGGACATACACAAAATGAAGGTGATGCTGTCCATTCTACCATTGAAAAACATACCGAAAAGGTTAAAATCTGGGCCTATTTACTTGCCAAACCAGTACGCTGAAGTGATCAGGTCAGCGAAGAAAAAAGGAAGACCGTACAACTTGACTAATTTCCTGAATTCCAGCGATTTTTGTCGTTAAAAACTTTATCGCAAAATATACGCCATTTTGATGTTATATGAATAGTTTTAATATCTTACTTGTTTCTTATATAACTGGTAATAACTATCTACAAAATATTGTTAAATATTATTTGATTTACTTATGAAAAAACAATAAAAAGTATTAACAAATAAGTGTTTCATTTTATGAAATTTTTGATATTTTTTTCTGAAAAAGTGACACATTAGAGGAATTT